GTTGCTGTTGCTGCTGCTGCTGCTGTTGTTGATGGCCTGGCGGTCCAATGGGTCCTTGCGAAGGAGGGAATTGTCCGGGACCCTGGGGAAATCCGTGTCCAGGGGGTGGATACCATCCCGGGGGCGCACCATAAGGAGGGAAGCCTGGGCCTGGAGGATAGCCAGGGGGACCAAAGCGCTGTCCGTAAGGTGGATAATATCCCTGAAACGAAGGAGGCTGTTGCGGATAGCCAGGTGGTGGCGGTGGACGCGAGACCTGAGATTGCTGCTGCGGAGGTTGCGAAGGCTGAGGAGCCTGAGGAGGACCGGGGCGTGACATACTCTATTCACGTGGCGGTTAGTAACCATCTCTTTTTGAGTAGATCATCAGAAGCTGTGGTAGTCCATTCGTCACATCAGAAGGAAGGCAACGGAGATATCCACATAAAATTTTTGCGCTTTCAGAACAGGTCTGTGAATTTACATCCGTAATATTTCATCCTGTGGACAAGCTGCTCGACCCGGCAAGGAGACCGAAACCGAGGGAGTTCGCAGCAGAGCAGGAGATTTGAGACTTACCCCAAGAATGGCAGGGTCATTTGGCACCTGGGGAGGCTCTGGCTTCACATCTTCCTTTTTCTCTTCAGCAATACTGATGTCCTTCACATCACTGCCACGGAACACGATGTATTCGTAGACGCTGGCGGATGGGGCGATTTCCTCGGCAGGATTGCCCCGTCTCCCTTCGGTACCGTAAGACACGACATTTTCGAGGGCGATAGTCGAGGCTTCAGGGTTGATTTCATGTAACGTTCCAACGTAGCTGGGCCAAGCATTAGTTGCATGTCTAGGGACCCCTTCCATGGGCTGAGACAGCGTACCGGATATCGCTCTTCGAGATCAGGTTGAACCGTTGACTGCCAACTGTTAATTCCGTCCAGTAGCATCAAGCACAACGAATCTGAGAGACAGACCCTATAAGATGGTTCATATCCATGATGGCGGGTTGCGCGCTCTCGCGCCACGGAAAAGAATGGGAAGAAGGTAGCGAATGGATTTCGTAGCAAAGAGGTTGAGGGAGTTGATGTGCGCAGAGGTGGCAGAGCTAAAGCTGTTGGTGGAGGAAAATCATGGACCTGGCGCTACGGTGGCCCGGAGGCACCTAGTGAGCAAGTCCGGCAGCCCAGCCAAGCAAGGCTCTCGCATCCCGCCCTACCGCTTTTGATCACCTTTTGCTGTGGCAGTGAAGTATATGTGATATTTATATTTACACAACCCCCAAATTCCACCATGAATCGTTCTTCGCACCGTGAAGATTTCTTCCAGACTACGTTCGTGAATACTAACTGTGGATTTTCCTAGTTCTGCGTCCTGCTAACGTCCACTCAGGGCCTCTTTGGAAGAAAGTAATCGCAAAGCGGCCAAATCTCGAAACCAAAATGGAAACCCCATAAAACTCCCGAGCAAGATCCTCGCCATAATCGCAGACCCCTTGCACGACGGGTCTGTCTATGTCGCTGAGAGCGCAGGTACTGCGAGGAGGGTTGTGCTTGAAGTAGGTGCGCAACCTCGGGACTCGCTCTGCAAGTGTAGCCAGACTAAGTCAAGTGTGACCACTCTATTCAGACAGGTGAAACAGCCGCTCTCTTCAAGGGGCCAACTGCTCCCTTGACAAGCCTCTCTCTTAGCCCAGATGGCAAGTTGCTGTTTGCTGGCTGCTGGGACAAAACGGTGTGGAGTTGGGATGTCCACTCCAAGCAGCCAAAGCGAAAATATGAGGGCCACTCTGATTTTGTCAAGTCTGTGACTTGCGCCAGAGTCAAGGGCCAAGATGTCCTGATCTCTGGTGGAGCAGATGCCAAAATTATAGTATTCAGCATCGACAGCGGGGAGCGGCTCTATGTCCTGAAAGGACACTTGAGAGGAATCCAGGATCTCAGGATCGATCCCTTCTCCGTGGAGCAAGATTCTTCCGGGATTGTTTTGTTCTCTGCTTCAAGTGATCGGGAGATTCGCCATTCCAGCATTCCACCTGACACCAACGATCTCAGCAGCTCTAATCCCCTGATCGTGCATGAAACCAGTGTTTACAGATTATTCTTCGATGCTGATGGCGATCTGTGGACTGCCTCCGCTGATAAGACTGTGAAATGCCTGGCCCGGGAGAATGACTGGACACCTAATTTGGTTCTCGAGCATCCCGATTTTGTTCGAGATGTTGCAGTGTATGAACAAGGCGGCTGGGTTGTGACGGCCTGCAGAGACGAGGAGGTTCGAGTGTGGAACAGGGCGGTATGTTTCCCAATTCCACTTGATGTGACTGTTCTGACTCTATTAGACTGGTGAGCTTTTCCATACATTCTCCGGTCATTTTGAAGAGGTCACTGGTATCTTGCTCGTCGGTAGTACAGTTGTCAGCATCAGTATCGACGCTACAATCCGACAGTGGTCTCTCAGGCCTGCTGACCTCCAGCGTGCTCGGGAAGAAGCTCAGAACAAAAAGAATGAGGAGGAACAGCCAAAACAAGAGTCCATGCTCACTGAAGAAGAAGAACGAGAGCTTGCAGAGCTTATGGAAGATGACGAATGAATCAGTATATGGGACTGTCTCCATGTGAGAGAGCTGATGATGTCCATGAACTTATGTGGTCTTTGCATAGCGCCTTTTCGCATTGTATCTGGATAATTCATAAATAACTTTTAACTATGCATTCATATCCAGTTCCGTTTATAATATCCCTTGCTGAGGAAGCCTGCATGCCTACGTAGGTGATTGATGACCCTGTTTGAAGCCGATCGACAGCCTGCTTATCTAAGAGTCACGTGGCGGGGCTTGATGTGCCCATGACGCATTTCCGCATCCAGACGATTAATTAATCGGCGGCGGGACTCGGAGCGGGTCTCGAGAATGCCGGCAGCTGGTAACTACATAATGCGAGGTACATGGGTAACCATCCCCAGCCCAACGCACATTGCGGACTCATCTCGGATCTTTCTTATGAGGGGTCGCCTTGGGGCTCTGGACGTGCTATCTGGTCAAATTGCTAAGCTTGCGTATCGTCCTTTACGTCCTCGTCGCGGGCAGCTGCTGAGATTGCCCCTCCATAACCACTCTTCCCTACCACTATTCTCATCGACGTCGGAGGACGTACCGTATCCTCTCAATTTTAGGAGTCATAGAACTCTCTGGACGCGTGCTTCTCTGAATATGGCCAGTATATCCGATATCCACTCTGATGAGATTGGGTCTGGGACCGACTCAAAGCCTAATCTCGTTAACCGGCTCCATGAAAGCCGATCGCCATACGTAAGTCGAGAGAGTGTGTTTGGACTGGCGGTGCCAGGATGATAACAAGATGATAGGTTAGGGGACACATGCACAATCCGGTCGCATGGCAGCTCTGGGATTCTGAAGCAATTGACCTGGCAAAGAGATATAACCGACTTATCTTTCTCAGCATTGGCTACTCTGCGTGTCACTGTCTGTGCTCCTCTTCATGTATCCCCGATGAAGACGCAATGTTCTGACCTTGAAATTAGGGTGCCATGTGATGGAGAAGGAGTCCTTTATGTCCCCAGAGGTCGCTGCGATACTCAACGAGTCATTTATTCCAATCAAGGTTGACAGGGAAGAGAGGCCTGACATTGACGATGTATACATGAATTACGTCCAAGCCACTACAGGATCTGGGGGTTGGCCGCTGAATGTGTTCCTGACCCCAAACCTAGAGCCTGTCTTTGGTGGCACGTACTGGCCGGGTCCGAATTCCAGCTCGCATCGTCGCCTGGGGGCTGACGGTCCTATTGGGTTCCTCGACATCCTGGAGAAGCTGAGAGACGTCTGGCGAACGCAACAGGCAAGATGCCTGGACAGTGCCAAGGAGATCACGAAGCAACTCAGAGAGTTTGCGGAGGAAGGGACGCACGCCCAACAGGGGGAACGAGAGGTTGACGAAGACCTGGAAGTTGAGCTTCTGGAGGAAGCTTATAAGCATTTTGTCTCCCGATACGATACGGTTAATGGGGGATTCGGGCGCGCTCCAAAGTTCCCTACGCCTGCGAATCTCAGTTTTCTGCTTCGCCTGGGCATGTACCCCAGTGCCGTGTCGGATATTGTCGGGCAGGACGAGTGTGCGAAGGCAACGGCAATGGCAGTCAATACTCTCATTAAGATTGCTCGTGGAGGAATTCGTGATCATATCGGAAACGGCTTCGCAAGATATAGTGTCACAGCTGACTGGGGTCTGCCTCACTTTGAGAAGATGCTCTATGACCAGGCACAGCTTTTGGACGTCTATGTGGACGCGTTTCGGTTAACACACGAGCCCGAGCTTTTGGGAGCCGTGTACGATATTGTTAATTATCTGACTAGCTCACCGATTCAGTCTCCGACAGGTGGCTTCCATTCTTCTGAGGATGCCGACAGTCTGCCCACTCCGAATGACACTGAGAAGCGTGAAGGTGCGTTCTATGTATGGACCATGAAGGAGTTCCAGCAGGTACTTGGACAGCGCGACGCAGGGGTTTGCGCTCGCCACTGGGGTGTACTGCCGGACGGCAACGTCGCTCCGGAGAACGACCCTCACGACGAGTTCATGAATCAGAATGCCCTCTCTATCAAGGTTACACCGAGTAAACTTGCCAAAGAATTTGGACTGAGCGAAGAGGAAGTGATCAAGATCATCAAGAACGGAAAACAAAAGCTGCGAGAATACCGCGATAGGACCCGGGTGCGGCCAGATCTGGATGACAAGATCATCGTGGCATGGAACGGCCTGGCGATCGGTGCTCTTGCGAAAAGCAGCATTTTGCTAGAGGACATTGACGAGGCCAAGGCTGCACAGTGCAGGGAGGCTGCGGCAAAAGCGGTCGATTTCATCAAGAAAAACCTCTTTGAGCCGTCGACCGGTCAGCTTTGGCGCATCTATCGTGACGGCAGCCGCGGAAACACTCCTGGATTTGCCGATGATTATGCGTATCTGACGAGCGGGCTCCTCAACCTTTACGAGGCTACATTTGACGATAGCTATTTGCAGTTTGCAGAACAGCTTCAACGTAAGGTCCCTTTTCTTCTCTTTTTCTACTATTCCTATCTTCTACATCGTCAACTATTTAACATCTCTCTTGTTTTCGACGCTTTCAAAGATGCTGACATTAGATTCTTCCAGAACATCTCAACACCCACTTCATTGCCCCTGGACGGAATTCGACCACGACTGCCGGCTACTATACCACATCGTCGACTCCAATCGATGGTGTACCGGGACCCCTGTTGCGCTTGAAAGGAGGAACAGACTCCGCCACGCCGTCCGTGAATGGGACGATTGCGCGCAACCTCTTGCGTCTAGCGGCGCTCCTGGAGGATGACAAGTACCGGACGCTTGCGCGACAGACCTGCAACGCCTTTTCCGTCGAAATCATGCAGCATCCCTTCCTGTTCGTGGGGCTCTTGGACGCCATTGTCGGGCTCGAGATTGGTATCCGGAACATCACGGGCGTGCTCTGCACGAGTGACACGTCTGAGTCGACAGTGCCACTCGCGGAGGGAGTGGTTGGCAAGGCGGATGAGAAACTCTCTGGGAAGGACCTTGTCATCAAGAAGGTTCGGGCTGAAGCGGGTCTCGCAGCCTCCACTTCGACCGCGACAGTGGCGCTGGTCGATGTGCGGCCATCAACGTCGGGCGCAGACGTCCAGAACAAGTCAGAATGGCTGAAGTCCCGAAATCCACTCTTCAAAGACCTCAAGCCGGGAACACCGCCGAAGAATTTCCTGCTCATTTGCGAGGTGGGAAGTTGCCGGACGGTGGACCTGTAGAATCTCTTTCTCTATCGGCAAGGACAGTGGGATTTCAAATTATGAATGTACTGTACGTTCTGTTCTGTTATGAGAAACAGGGTCTCCTTTTTACTATTTGATCGTGATCATTTCTTTCTACCCTTTCTCATGTTCATTTTATTTATTTATTAGCCCTAGAGTATCTCTCAGGGACGAGAAAAATTGTGACCGGATCCGGATTAGATGATTGGAATAACCATTTCGAGGTGAAGTGTGTTGGTTGTATTTTACTCTGTTGTGTATATTCTGCCTTTCTTCTTCTTCTTCTTCTTCTTCTTCTTTTTGGACCCTTTGGAAGAGGTTAAAGAGTATCTGGCGAATGAGATGTCTAAATCAAAACGAGTCGTTTGTATTTACAGAATGGTGATCTACAATACAATATGGTCCTGAATACTCTGCAGGGTCTGTACGGTGAAATAAAGTACAGTACGAATTAGTTATCCTGTAACAGATGAACTGAAGCAGAAAGAATGAATCTGTAAGCTATACGTAATATATTTATAATATCTGAAATAAAAAGGGCTTATTGAAGAGCATAATATAGTCATAGAATATAAGTACTTAGGGCTGCTGCCCTAAGCAGTCCTGGCGCCTTCGGAATGAATAACGAATGCAGCGCGCGGAGTAGATTCACTCCGAAAGCACCCCGCTGACGTGCTTCGGCATAAACAATGGAGGACACTGTTTCATTCCGACGTTGACTATGTGTTACTTCTGTCTACGCTGTGAGTCGAACATCTTTGCTTATCCGATCGGGCTGGTTGATTTTGGGGCCCAGCAGTGAGCGTTTGTTTGCTCTCGCGCATTTATCTCCGGATGCCTTTGCAAGTGTCATCATATAGTATCATGTGAGAGGACTGCCAAGTCGTCCAGCATGTTGCGCCGAAATGGCAGACCAACCTTCTGCGAACCATGTCGCCTTTCCAAGGTCCGGTGTGATCACACCACGCCGAGGTGCAGGAGATGTGAGGCTCGAGGCGCGGGCAGCAAGGTACGCATTCCGAAGAGAGACATCCAGCCCTGACCTCGTCGCCAGTGCTTTTACCACCCTGCTCCCTTGACGCGACCCAAGAGAAACAAGCAGTCTTCGAGGCCAGCCAGACCGCAAAGCGCAAACGAGGAATTCCGGCAGCCGGAGCGTCATCTTCTCTCTTCGGACTCGCCTGAGGAACTCCGCGACGATGGCGGTCCGATGGCGCAGACTCCGTTCCTCGGGTCGACGAGTTACCTGTCCGTCTTCTATGACGCCCATCCGGCACTGTCGCGAGCCGGGAGCCTGTCGCTCGCAGCGGAATTCGAGCGCTGGAGGACCGACCGCGCGTATGTGGTGCGACGCCTGACCAAGCTTATCTCGGCGATGGCGTTCTACGAAGACGTGATCCGTGGCTATTATGACCGAGGCCAGTTTACAGTCATCCCGGCTCCGTTGGTCCTGGATTCTCTGCATCATGCGCGGTCTTACCTGGAAGGATCCCCGGGCAAGAACATGCTCGCGCAGGAGGAATTGTACGCCAAGATCAGCGAGAACACCGCCAAATCCCTTCGTGTGCGTCCCACCATGAGGGCCGATGAATTCTACTCGCTTTTTACTGGAGAAAATCTTCGATGGGAGTTCATTGGTTTTATCTTCGCGCTGGCCGGGATTGGGTTCTGATCCAGTATTCTCGCAATATGGTGCTTCACCTGAGTAACGGGGAGCATTTGAATGTCGAGACGTTCTTGACGGAGATGGTGTTGGCTGGCTACGCATGTATCGAGATCTACAAGCCGCATGGAAATCCCAATGACCTCATGATCTGGCTGCGGTACACCCACATGCTTCTTGGGACCGAAGTTCTGGGAGAGGCCAGTATGCCTCCCATGTTAGCCGCTGCTTCATGAAAGTCTGGCTGACGAGAAAAAAAAACCAGGACATCTGATCTACGGACTGTTTGGGGATTTGATATCGGACATGTTCGCCATGGGACTGCATTGACAACATGTCTCGGGGCACGGGATTCCTTTTAATCTCTTGGAAACCCGGAAAAGACTGTTGGCCGTCACCCATCGGACTGATAAGAACTTGGCCACTCTCCTTGGAAGACCGCCGAGGCTGCCTCACGATTACTGCGACGCGACGCCTCCCCTCGATCTGGACGATGACCATCTCTTCCTCGAAGAACCGCAATTACAGGCCGTCCTGCTCAAGCTGGACAAGGAGGGATGGAATATCGACAGCATCGTGAATCGAAAGTTCCGTCCCGCGTCTGTGATCCGACTGCGATATATGCTCTCCGCTCTAAGAGAGAAGGTGCTCCAGCTATCGCTCGGACAGAGGATGGAAGACTTTGCTGATCATCTGGCGTAGACCTCCCTTCCTTTATTCTTATATTGTATGTATGTACATAGAGTTCAATCTGACACTGGTCTAGTCAGATGCAGCAAGACTGCCAGCAGACATGGGATCGGGTTCCGCCGCATTTCCGGTACCATTCCAGCTGCTGGGAGATGCTGGACCCGGTCGCCTCTCTGGTCAATACGATCATCTACCTCGAGTACCTGCTGAACGTCTTCCAGATCCAGCGCATCCAATGCCAGGAAAACCCGGCGGGGATCAAGGATTTGCTCGACACGGCGATGCAGGTGATTGTGGTAGTCATGGACCTGATGAGACAGCAACATCGGGAAAAAGAGATCCGGAAACACCTGGCATGGATTGTAAGTGGCAGAGGAATATCTATTAGGATACCCTCTGTTACCATACTGACACTAGGCCAAATATTTTCCAGTTTCTCGTCTACGGCCTTCCTACCGCCGGCGTCTTGGTGACGGAGCTGCACCGACACACGCTGAGTAGTCTACCATTGCCGTCTTCGACTCCGCGGGTAGCCATCATCCGACACCTGAGCGTGCTCATCTCGTGGTTCGACAGCGGCGCCCTCGAGGTCTCTACGACAGCAACGCACCGGGCCTGCGTCGAGATCAACAAGGTTATTGGACGCCTTCTGGACGAGGTGCTCAACCACCAGGCCTGCATTCCGCCTCATAACCGTCATCATCGTCATCATCATCATCATCATCATCATCATCATCATCATCATCATCATCATCATCATCATCATCATCATCATCATCATTACCTTGAGGATGGCTTACCTTCTGGCTTGGGAGGTCATGCTGAAGGGTCGAGCGCGCAGGCAACAACAACAGCCCCGCCAGTCGACCTCGACCACGACCAGAACGATGCCAATCTGGGCGACCAAAGTCCAAGTCCAAGCCCAAGTCCCTTCTTGATGACGGGCGAAGCGTTCCTGAGCTGGCTGGACGAGCGTGACCTGGATTCGACGATCCCGCAGCTATGGTTCTGAGGATCTCTCCGGAGGATAGATGGCCATGAAGTGTTCTACAGGAGGGTTGAACGATGGATTGGATGTGGAATATGAGCCTTGTAAAAAATAAAATAGAAAAAAAAAGTAACAACAGATGACTGAAAGAAACTGAGTTCATTCATCCATGTTACTGTGGACCTCTCAGTTAGAAAAAATCGGGGCCTGGCCTACCTAACTATGCTGGAAGGTACTGCTTTTTGCCTTGAGGATATAGATGAGTTGGGTTAGCTTCTAACTATATTATTATAATACATATGTGCCTGACATGTCCAGTAATATGACTATAACAATGCCATTCTTTTCTTCCGATATAGTCCTGATTTGGCGCAGCAACCAGTCTAATGCTGTAGTGACTATTTTACCCTGCCACATCTTGTAGGCAGTACTGTGCTATAACTGCCTCTATGATCTTTCCAAGGGTGTTTGGGAGTGCAATAGGGTGCTTGTGCCATAGCTTGGGGTTTGTATAATAATCCTCTTTTTTTTTTCCCTGGTTTATGCAATACAATTAATTGCAAGGCGAAGTATCGCCAGTGCCTATATGCCTGGGTAATAGGCCTCTTATAATAAGGTTTAGTATCGTATAGTATGAACAAACTACTACTCTAGAGTACTCCATATAAGAAGTAATACCACCTAAATATTTAGGGTTCCAGAGCACTTCCTAGGTATACTAGTTGATTGCTAACTTTTAGAGAGAAAAAGAAGAAAGAAAGAAAAGAAAGAAAAAAAAGTAGAATTAGGTAGAGAGAGATAGAGAGGTGGCCAAGATAATTGACGTAGTAAGTCTCCTTGTAACTCTGGCCTTGGCAATTCAGTGGCAGCAGTCGATACTGTCTGAGAGTCTCTCGCGTGGTAATTGGATCAATCATTCATTTCGTGTTTCCACCGCCCATCCTCAGTGTTGTAATCTTCAGCATCAGGCCAGCTGTCGCTGCTATCGGAATCAGACTGATCAGGGAGCGCGTACATGGGATTCATGGATCGCTGTAGCTGCGCCATGACCTCTCTTTCCGTGAGGTCGTAGCCCTCAAAATCTACATGTCTCGACAACAGTAAACACTCTGCCGGGCGGATATTATACCGATTGTGGTCCACCTGGGCGCGATCGGTGACCAGGAGCTTGAAGATGGAGTTCAGGTCCAGGTCCCGTGTGAGCTGAACTAAGGTATGCATAACGGTCGATACCTGGTGCTGATAGGGACGTTTCTCGAGGAAAGACAAACCATCTATGGAACAGAAAAGCATCGTGTCAGGCGGGAGTTGGTAAACGAGCTCGCGAAATAGGTTACATAGCATTTGAAGGTCGCCTTCTTCGATAGCTTTGCGTTGACGCGGCGGATTCAGAATCGAGAGATCAAAATCGTAACCAGATGTGCAGATTAGTTGCTTTATGAGGCACCTGAGCAGACGGACGGGCCCGTACAAGGAGTCGTCCGGAGCAGCATGCTGGCCGCAGAAGAATTGCATCGAGATTACACCGTAGTCTTCTCGAAGACTTCGGCTGAGAGACGCACACAGGGCCGACATGGTGGTGATCCGTCCGTATTCGGTGGAAAAAATGTTATCCTGAACGAGGAGTACCTCAGACGGCCTTGTTGACAGCCACTTCTGAAACTTCGGGTCCCTCTTTCCTGCCATGTTGCCGTGACTTAGGAGTCCCGTTTCGCTCTCTCCTGACTCCCTGTCACTGAAACCGAGAAGAAGAATTAATTCTGTTCCATTAATGGCGGCTCTGGGACCATTTGACGTTGCTTCACGTAATGTCCGCATAATCTCCTCTTGCGATGGCCTCCCTATATTGTTGTCAACGCTTTTCACCGCTAAGGGGACTCGAGAGTCCGGAACACGAACAGGGAACAGATCGTAAGAGATCGGCCATAAAACTCCTCACTAAATAGTACATGTTCTTCTGACCGTCTTCAATCTTTGATAGAGTAAGGTCTTTCTGCGATAATCTCGCACCAAGTCTTCTCACGCCCGCGTCCGTCCTGGCGATGAACCTGTTCCTGAGGATCTTAATGCGCGCCAAAACCCGTTTATTATAGGTATCGATATCATGGATAAGCTTGACGAGATGACGCTCAAATTCTGGTCCTTTGAGAAGAACATTGCCGATTTTCCCTGTAGACCCGCCAGGTTAAGATGGTACAGGGTCCTTAAGAGGAGCGAGCGTACCTAACGCGGAGTCGTTGACAAGATACGCGACCAGGCCGTCCACGGCACATAGAATGGAAATGTAAAGGTCGATTGTCTTATCCTGGAGCGGCTTATCCGTTACGGTCTCGCGCGCGTGTTCGACGAAATCCACCGTCTGTGGGACGCTGTTGAGAGAGTGTAGAATCTGCTCCCTGGTCTCTTGCAGCATTGACGCAGTCTTTGGATCATGATGAGCAAGGGCGATGTGCTACGAGGAGATAGAATGACTCCTTGCCTTGACTAAGAACGTCAAAACCCCAGTCACAGCCCCAGTATACTCACTCTCCGGAATGAGCACCGCCAAGTGTTCTATAGCGGAAGAATGTTCTCCAACCGATCTCCCAAGGCCACGGAATACACCTCTCATGCCCTTTGCTTTATCATTGTATTTCCTAACGGCTCTCTTTGCGATTCCGTTGACATCGTCCCAACAATGCAGAGAGGGTACGGTACGGTACCCTTTTTTTTCTTGTATCGAATAAAAATAAGAACCATTAGACCAAGAAGTAAGGTTTTGTTAGGATTATAATTGTTATCAAGTTATTGTTTTTTTTAGGGTTTAGGGTTAGTGCACTGTGCACAGTGTCAGTCACAAGTACAAAACTCTGGCCTACTATTTATGCTGGCAAGCAATTACTTCGTTTTGCCTTGAGGATAATAGGTATAGTTATAGATGAGTTTGGTTGTGTTTGCTTCTTCTAATTATATTTATTATTTATTATATCATGTGCCGTGCCTGACATGTCCGTCCAGTGTAACAGACAGGACAGGACTGTGGCGATAATGCCATTCTCTATATAGTCCCGATTTGGCTCAGCAACCAACCAGTCAAATATAATCCTGATGCTGTCTGTCTCTGTGGACCAAGATCAATTCTTGCATGCTCCCTATCTTGACCACTGCTCTGCCACGTCTTCTTGTAGGTATGTAGGTACTGTGCTGTAACTCCCTCTATGATCTTTCTTTTCCTTTTTTTTTGCCAAGGGTATTTATGCAATACAATACAATTAATTGTTCTTGCCATATGTAATGTGCAAGGCGAAGTATGTATTGCCAGAGTAATAGGCCTCTTATTTATAAGGTTTAGTAATTAGTATAGTATAGTATAGTGTCGTGGTACGACGCCGTACCCTTGGGCTCCGAATATATAGGTAGAAGAACTCCCCTTCTGCAGGTCACATGGGGAGAGTCCATGGTCCATCACGTGTATGGGTCGTCCATCATGTACTGTACTGTACGTAGATGGGAGGATCCTTCCTTCGATCCTCGTCAAGCATCTCTCATCAGCAATGGATCAGCCATTAAGCCCCAACATCTAGATACCTAGTATGAACCAAGTACTACTCTAGAGTACTCCGTACAAGAAGCAACACCTAGACGTTTAGGTTTGCAGAGTACTTCCTAGGTAGATATACAAGCTCATTGCTAACCTTTAAAAAAAAAGGGTTAGTCTGGGGTTCTGTAACCAAGGCTATTTCTTGTTTTTAAAGAGTTGAAATTAAACCAAGAAGTAGGTATAAAAATGAACAGTACTGACATTGGCGCAGTGTTGATTGTATTTCTGTCTGCGATAGTTTGCACACTATTCCATCGTGTATCATGCTGCATTTTATTATACCTTCTCCACCCTCCCAGCAGAACCAGCTTCAGATCTACCCTCGATATCAGCCTCTGCTCGACCCCTTCTCTCCAACACCCGGATGACAACCGCCCACAGCATCATGGCCACCCCAAAGCACGCCGCCGCAATAAACCCCGCCCGGAAGCGCGGCGCCTCCACCGTCCGCCATACCGCGTCCGAGAACCAGGTGCTCATGATGTACGAGAAGATGTTGGCCGTGGCGATGACGAACCCGCGCATCTCGTGGTCGTGCCGCATCAGCTCCGAGAACCAGGCAAAGTAGATGCCCGGCACGCCCGACGCACAGTACGTGAAGTAGAACGCGACGAATTTCAGCGCCGTCGGCACCTCCCACACGGCCAGCACAACGGCGCCGAAGAACGTCCCCGCCTGCATCGCGACGATGGCCTGCCAGCGGCGTCCCTTCAGCAGAGGCGAATCCGTCAGCATGCCCGCGGCGACCTGCACGACCACCGCGATGGCCGCCTGTCCCGTCGGCCACACGTTGATCTGATAGACCGAATACCCCTCCGCCTTGAGCCAGAGCGCAAATGCCGGCTGCTGCACGGGGAAGCTGGCCTGAACGAAGAAGTAGCCCAGCGGCAGGACCCAGAACTGCCACTGCCGCACGACGCGGACGATCTTGGTCCGGTCCCAGACCGACTGTCCCAGCGGCCTCATGCCGTCCGCAGCCAGGCGCTCCCGCGCCAGCGCGGCCTCGTCCGCACTGAGGTAGAACGCGCGCGTGTTCTCCGGAAAATCCGGGTTGAAGGCATACCCGATCAGGCCGGCGGGCAGGGCGATAACACCAGACACGATAAACAGCCACTGCCAGCCAGCGTGGCCGAGATGCCCGCCGAGGTTGTCGTACGCGCCCGCCTGCAGGTAGCCGCTGAACATCTGGGCCAGGGTCGCGGTGCAGTAGAAGATGGTGACCCGTTTGGCGCGCTCGCGGCGCGTGTACCACGAGCCCAGGATGTAGATCACGCAGGGGAAGTAGGCTGACTCGAAGAGGCCGACCAGGAAGCGCAGCGCGTACAGCTGCTGGACGGTCGTGACGGCCGCGCTGCAAAAGGTGCACACGGCCCACAGCACCTCGGCCGTGGGCACCAGCAGCGACGGCCGCAGCCGGGTTACCAGGATGACGGCGGGGATCTGGCCGACGACGTAGCCGGCCGTGAAGACGTTGGCCATGTAGGTCAGCTGGCTGCCGTCCATGGCCAGGGCCTCCTTCATGCCGGACACGTAGGCGTTGTTGATGTTGGCCTGGGACAGGTTCTTGCTGAAGTAGCCCAGACAGGCGTAGCTGAGCAGGAACAGATCCAGCTTGAAGAGGAACCGTTTCTCCGCGGGCGATTTGTCGGGGTCGTCCCAGATGTAGGGGGCGATTGAAGCCCAGAGGCCTGTCTTTTTCCTACGAGCATTCTCGGCAGGATGGTCATCTCCGAGAATGGCAGGTGTCACTTCTGCTGGTTGTTTATCATTGTCCTGGTGACCAGTCGATCCTCTTTCTCCCTCTCGAGAAGTAGTCTCTGTCATTGCGAGACGTCAGTATATTTCAAACGAACTGATATGAAAGAAAGAACTGACAAGTAAAGCAATGCATGCCTGCAGGCCTTCTTTTTTAGTATTTGACTGCGCAGGTTGTATGTCGTCTACGTACTAGTTGGAACCACCTGATCCGAGTCCCTCGAGGACTAAAAAGCGGAGATAATCTGCGATAGACGCGCGTTCCGCCCATTCAGGATCGCGGGGTATATTCGCCATTGTCTGGTGGTCTGATGCAATGGTGGTCGATTAAGATGGTGTAGGTTAGCGCCCATACTTGGGCAGGACAGCTAATCGATGTCTGCTGAGTGTCGACGTCCCTTTTAAGATATGCTGACAGAAGTGTGAACAAAGATCAACAAGAGTCTCTGCGTAGGGTGTCTGGTGTTGGTGAGAAATCCGGAATTCTGTGGAAGGCGGGAAGGGAAGGTGCCTTCTGACCCGAGTTGTTCCGTTTATGGAAGGAGCAGAACATCCGTAGCCTCGAGGGGAAGGAGCGTCCTTCGAAGAACACAACAATCGACTACTTCAACACGCCACACTTGCACATTTCATGTGGTTGAATCTAAGGCGATACAGGTCGAAGCAGCTCTTCTTCCATAATTGTAGTAGAATTGGGAGGCTGAAATGGTAAGGGGGTGTCAATAATACTGATTGAAAGTCATCCATGTTTGATACTCACGTAGAGGTACTCTTTTTTTCAAGCAAAGGGAATTATACAGCAGAATAATAGTGCCGTACAATCAAGTTGAAGTGGAGAGACCTCGCTACTTCTTGAACTCCATAGGTTCTGGATTCTTGATTTCATTTTTCTGCTTGTTAGTTAGGTCGTTAGTCTTCAAAAAATATACTAGCATATACTAGCATATTGAAAGACCATGTTTTCCCCCTACTTACTTCGAAGTAGATAGGAACACTAAGTCAATCCTCTTGTACATTCGTATAGAGCGGGATGTCTGAGGATTTTAATGCATTTACTGGCAAAGTATTACTAAGAATATATATTCTAAGATGTCTTTCCCTAAGTGATCATTTTGCTCAGTATATATAAGACTGGTCTAGGCAAGAGTTAGATTCAATGGCAGAGGATCTGGACACACCCTTATTGAATGATCTATATGACAAGGACTTGACATGTGGGACCTCGGGGGTTATTAGATCTAGATATCTGTTTCAGATATCTGTTTCAGGGCCAAAAATGTCAGCTCAAAACAAACCCGCGACTCCACAGGTTAATTACCACATCAGACGATTAGAAGCCATGGCTGATGGTCGAGACCCTTTTTGGATCGGGTCTGGGTTCCGTTGAGTATTAACGACTTAAGTAAGCAATTAATTAAGGATTAATTAAACGATTCATGACTGATGACTGGTCTTCTTTTGGACTTTTCCCCAGGACAGCTGCGCAACCCGCAGCGCATCCAATCGCCTAGCCAGCTCGACGTCTGGTCCATGGTTCACTGGCCTGATTCTGCTGCTGTCTGGCGCGAAATGAAATAATCCATGGATATGAACGAAGCCAGCCATCGAATGGCAGCTCGGGCGGGGCAGCCGCTGGGCGACGCTAATCCGCCGCTAAGGCAGGGGCGGGCGAGTCAGATTCGCCCGTGGGAAATGAGCTCCACGATGCAACGCAATCCAACGGCCTGCTACTCCGTCCTGCACATCACCACTGATCGATCGTGGCAGGAGGATGCCCTGAGTGAGACAATCGGCGACATTCCTCTCTCCAGTCCTCAGCACGGAGGACGCCGTGGTGGCGCGCCAGACGTGGGGTTGCCCAGAACAAGCATGGTCGCCATGTGCATTCAACAACACCAGGATTCCAGGAATGCCCGCCGTCCTCAGGTATGTATGACTAGACGACAACGTTGGTCGCCCATATAGGGCAGCATAGGGGACAGAAGACAACTCTATGGGAAGTACTATGAGAAGTAACTGCCGGTCAGCAGAAATATCCTCAAACAGAACAGAAAGGCGCCTTTCGATGTTACGTTCGAGACCCAACGAGCTTAATTTTCCTGGAGACAAGTACGCTGGTCTAGCGTCAATCCATCTCGATGGTCTGGTATTACTGGCCCCTCTTGTTATTTCCACCATCGCGAACTAAGCAATTGGCGGCGAGCATCCACTCCCCCTATCAGCCCGGATCGCTTGCCGCTCTCCCGCTCTTTTCTTGAAGGCCTCCTCACCTTTAATTCCTCTCTCTCTGTCCTCTCTTTCTCCAGTGGACACCAGCTCTTTTGCTTTCTTTTTCTTTGTTCCAGCCTCCTCGACGCTGTTCACTCCTTTGCAGTGTTGAGAGGCCAGTCGTTCTTTCTTATCCCCCTCTCACAGCAGTCGATCTGCGCCAGCCAGAATACGACCTTCCTCTGTGTTCAGCAGCCCCTCGTTCGCTGTAAATATCACTTCCTGTGGAAGTGTCTCTGTGCGCTCAGTTGATCTGTTGTATATTTTGTCCGTCCCTATTGTCAACACCGCGACTTTTGTATAGACGAAACAAGAAGAATTCCGCCACCAAAATGCGCTCTTCGATCCTTTTGGGCGCCTTGTGCGCCATGGGCGCCATTGCCTCTCCTATCGAAAAGCGCGTCTACACCACTGAGGTCATCGTCATCACCGTGACCGAGACGATCACTCCATGGTTAACTCAGTCGACGCCTTCCGCTACCGCTGCCACTACTGCGGCCGTGACTCCATCGCCCGAGATTGACGTCGCTGAGAAGTACCGTCACAGTTCCGAGTCTTCGTCCACGACCGTCGTTACGCCGTCCTCTCCTTCTCCAGTCGTCACGACTTCGGCTCCCGCGACCACCAGCTCTACCTCTTCATCTGTCCAGGTGTCCACGGCGTCTTCTGCGGCGCCTAGCCCAAGTGCTGCCAACAGCTACCAGGAGACCATCTTGCAGAACCACAACATCCACCGTGCCAACCACTCTGCTCCTGCTCTCGTTTGGGACAGCGGCCTCGAGGCCAGCGCTCAACAGCTTGCCAACGGCTGTGTCTATGAACACAACACGTAAGGACCACCCCTCCTGGCCGTTTCGTGGACGCGAATCTGATCTATTCTTAATAGCGAAATCAACGGGGGTGGATATGGCCAGAACATCGGCTACGGTATCCCCGCCGACAACATCGGGGCCATGATCACCAACCTGATGTACAATGACGAGTTCGGCTACTTCGAGAACCTGTACGGTCAAGCCAACCCCGATATGTCTGAGTTCGACCACTGGGGTCACTTCTCTCAGATCGTGTGGAAGGGCACCACTCATGTTGGCTGTGCCACCGTCGTTTGCTCTAATCTTGGGAACGTGGACTCCAGCGAACCCCTCCCGTTCACTGTTTGCAACTACAGCCCGCCTGGTAAGATGAGATCGTTTCCCGGTAAGGGCCTAGTAAATTTCTGACATGCGAATTCTAGGCAACTACGCTGGTGAATATGCCGACAACGTTCTGCCCCCTCTGGGCCAGCCTTACTACTCCGTGCCCGAATAAGCCAGCCATGATTAGTTTGCGCCGGCAGGGACGTTGACCGTGTCAATTCTTGCCTGGCTACACGCAATTGCCACCCCCCCCCCCTTTTTTTTTTCTTGCGTGTCTTTCTTGCCTCACTTCGACTCTCGCCTGTTGAGGAGATCGGGTCATACCTTCACTTGTCAAGATTTGGATATGATGTGACGCCGGTATGACCGTCCCGACTCTTCTACGATGCTGTGGCTAATTTTTCCTTCTTTTCTTTTTATTTTCTTTTCTTAATTTTTCAATGCTGGTGCCCTTTTTTCTCTTCCGCGCTGGTTTCGTGGCCGATCAAGCCGGGACTGAATCAAGTCAACTGGGGGAGAGAAAGAAGCAAGAGACAAAGTCGCAACCTCCCCTGTTCCCTTCAGTCCAGTCCAGTTTTGTTTTGTTCACCTGTTAATATTGGCTTGCTCGGGGCATACCGCAGAACCCCGCCCCCCCTTTTTTTTTTCTTCACTTCTTGAAAAATATTTTTCTTTTTCTTGGGATATTATATATATTATTATATATACCACCATCGTAGACAGGCAACAGAGTTTTCAAAAGCAAAAACGAAAAGTTCTTGTTTCTCGTACATACATGTTGACACTGGATCGACGACTAGACGGCACGTAGCCAACGGGTTTGGTATGAAGAAGATCGGAGTTTCGGGATCCATCAGTGCATGGAATTAGATTAGGTAGGTACCTAGGATAGCTCCTTACCAGAAATGGCAATATTAAACCACTCCCATCCCGACCAGTCCAGTTTTTCATTTCATGTCCTGTATATAGATTGTACAGTACACATATCATATATCATATATCCACGAGGAAGGCCAGCAAGTTTTGCGTTCTCCAACCCAACCCTCTTTTTTTTCTTCCCCCCCACAACCTTTTGTCGGTGAATACCTATCAATACCTATCAGACGCTTGGATGATGGCTGGCGCATGTTCTGACCATTAAAAAGAGGAATTCGAACTGCCTTGATCAAACCAGTGTATCCCAACCCTCGATCAGCCAATCGCAACAGGCACTATATGTACTGTACAAGGTCTGAGACCTCTCTGAGTTCCAGGGGGGAGCAGAGCTTGATAGTAGTAGCTCTGGTATTGCAAACAGTGATCAGCTTCCGATGGAGATTGAAGAATCGCATCGCAGCTTTGCGTTCATCAAAGTGAAAGTGCAGGCGATATATATATATATAGATATAGATGGAAGAATGTGCGTATTTTCCATCGTGCGCACACGACCGGAATCGTAAGAGGACACTTTTTGTCAATAGTAGCATGGATGTCGGCAATGACATTATTACCACCATGGGCAACTGCATTACGAGCTCGTGACTTCGTCGGTCGATCTTGGAAAGGTCAGGAGGGATTGGAAGGATCGGATTGTTCGTTAAGATCGAGGTACATACCTCGTTCGTAAGACTTTTGTTCACGATAGGGTAGAAGAAGAAATGAAAGCTCAGTCTCCATGGAGGGAATCGACTTTCTATCCGGAAAAAGTATGTATGTTAGATCCGTTCAGAAGGATAGAGATGACAACTTACCTTGTTCAGATCATCAATTTTTTTTTCGAAAAAGATCAAGATCAGCCAGAAGCCGCTAAGCTATTATCAAGGGGGTGCCAGGCGGCTGACAGCCTGACGGCTGTCATCCTGTGGTCTTTTTTCCGCTCTGTTGCCAGCGTATTTGCCATCCTCAGTTTGTCAACAGCCGTCGGGATCTATCTGAGGGGCTTTGGTGGTCTTATACAGCAAACCATGCCATGTCCATGAGTCAACGGATGATGAGAAGATGGTAAGAGACAATCTTGCCTTGACCGATGGGTCGTTCAAGGTCCTTGAATGGTCGACGGGTCGATTGCGCGATTGGGACTGGGATTCCGGAGCCAGATGGTTGAGATGGCATCTTGATAAGGATTCCAGTAATGCCAGCAAATGGCAACAGAACTGAATACAGAGAAAAAAAAAAGAGAAGGGATCCGGATGGGTAGGCTGCAGGAATATTGAAATACAGGCTTTCTGATCCAAGTAAGGCGGTCAGCAAGTAGTTCCAGGTCAGGTGAATGGACGTGTCTTCACTAGTTGCTGCAATTCTCAGCTCCCTGGGGTGTTTTGATTCCTCTCGCCCAAGCGAATCAAGAATAGTATTATCTGTGGTGAGTTTCGTTGATATTAACTGCAATGCACCTGCAATTAGTTGACGGTGACTAAAATTCAAGTCTTATAGCACCACCTCAGTCGCGTTCTGCATCTGATTATTCATATTCCTCTGCACACTGAAATTACAGAAACACCTCTCCTAGTATCCAAGACCTCACGAAGTTCAATATATTTGGTCTTAAAAGTATAGCATTGGCTTGGATTTGGGTTATTACTTTAGACTAAAACACGCTGAAAGAGTTTTTTTTTTTTGAGCAATCTACTGTGTACAATATATTCCTATCTTCAGCAGCACTAAAGCACTGTTTAAGTATTCATTGCTCCCAAGATAACCTCTAAACCTTAATAACATCTTGCTGACTTATCTAGATGTAAATTAAGTTATTTATCAGGTCACCAGGTCAAAGAATTTAAAAGGTGTTCAGCTCTACTCTATAGCATTAATCACTCCATAGAGTTCCCTGTATAGAAAGAATTGCTCAATACCTTTCACTCTATTGAGGTCACCACTCCTTCTAATTCATTCCATGGAATGAAGGTATTCATCATCGTCAGGGAACGTCAGTTTAAATTTACTTTTTTATTTATCGAATTAGCATGGACTGAATCCATGGATTCACTACCCTTCTTGCTGGTGTCCACTCTCCGGCTGGAGCCTGTTCCACAACATACCTTATCTCTTGAAAAAAAAAGATATTGTCATGGATTCTCAGATTTTAACCTCATCACCAGCTTTGACAATGACAGCGGTTTCTCACGTCGAAACCGAGATAAACAACAAGCTGGATGGATACGAGCCACGGGATTCCAACGACGACACGGCACGTGTGCTGCGCGCTTTTCTTGACTACTTACCCCGTGACGGTCGGGCAAACCTGGCTGATGATATTACCGGTTGCCAAACCGACGGTGATTTACAGAGCCTTGCCTCTCGTTTAGTGGAAGGACTTCTTCTCCCTATGAAGATGGCTAACAGGCCATCCCATGGGGATGGTGGTGATATCGAGAAAGCATGCATGCAACGAGATGGCAACATTTGCGTTGTCACCCAGGTTTATGATGTTCATCAGCCTGCGCCAGACGACAAATCAATGCTTACGAGTTACCTCGCGGCTGTGCACATCTTGCCCTTTCTGGAAGAAGAACGCAGCGCATCCTCGGGGGTCTGGTTCAACGTCCGTCGGTACTTCCCCAGCATGCGCTCTGAACTTGATGATCATCATCAGGTTGACGGTCTTTATCATAATCCACGGAACGTGATCACTCTCATGGATCCCTTATACCGAGACTTTGGCGATTTTCGAGTTTCTCTCGAGCCAACAAGCAACAACAACGCCAGCCATGTGTATCGCCTGAGAACACACAGGAACTTTTCAACGTGTCTCGTGCCTTTCCTGCCCGAGAATGGACTCGTTACCTTGACAAATCACAATAATGAGAAAGATGAATGTCCGCTGCCAAGCCCTGTGCTCCTCGAGACCCATGCCGCAATTGCACAAATCCTCGACGCAACAGACGGCAGCACAGATATTCGAAGACTGCTATCTGTTAAGTTCTTGCGACGGCGGTAATTCGGTCGCTGTCGGCCAAACACTCGGCCGATTCCTTCCCTCCGCCCTGCGGCTGCCGTCGGGTGGCACTTCTGCCCAATGCGGCAGTCACGTGATAGACTGCGGGGCCCCGTCGATCTCCCTTCGCCCGAGCGTCCTGGAGAAGGCGCGAAGCTGCGAATGGAAGCTTCATCTGGCCAAACGTCGCGAGGCATGACGCCAGCCTCCCCGCGTGCCATTATACGGTCTCTCCAGGTCTCAGTCATTCACTAGCATTCCCTTGCCGTGCGTCCGATGTTGCCACTGCTGGGCAGACGAAGCCTGCCTGCGTCCTCCGAATAGAGCTCTCGACTGTGGACAACTTGGCGTGGGGAAGGATTACATAGCTCGCTCGAGCTTTCTTTCTAGTTCCGGATCTGGATACGACGTCAAGAGTTTGCTGCTGCCAGCCTCGACATCAATCCCGTTAATCTCTTTTCCGTTGACACCCTCTTCTCCGCACATCCCTGTATCATATCCCGATAGCTTCCTCCCAGGCAAGACCCGTGTGCCCGCCGTCGCTTTCTTATCACGTCATCCTTTATCTTTCCCGAATCGGACGAGTCTCACCTCGGGCGGAAATTCGATCCAGGTCGAATAGTGGTCGACCTAGCCAGTTTCCTCCGCTGGACCGTTACCCTCGTGCCCCGTCCGGTAGAGCATATAGGCGCTGAGTCGCCTAGGTAGGGATTTGGCGACTACGGCTAAGTAGTCAACTCCTCCGTTGCTCCGATAGACTCCACGCCGGGGCGCCGACGCCTGTGACTTGCAGGCGATCCACCTTCGATCCGATCTAAGCGGATTAACAGGTCAGTGTAAGCATCCTGTTTCTTATCGTTCTGCGGTGGAATTCCTCTCCCTCTATCAGACTGTGCCCTCTCCGCGTTTCCGCGACTCCCCCGGACGGCGGGGTTGTCAAAGGGCCGTTCCCTATATATCACCGTTGTTTCGTGGCTATCACTTTCCCTCCCCGTCTCCATCCTCTCACCCATCCCCCCCCTCTCTCTTTACGGTTCGTCTCATTCTGTTTCGGCTCCAATTTGTTATGTGATCAGTCCCCATCCATGCCGCCTTACTGTCTACAAGACTGCCACTATTTCTACCGTAGCGCTTTGCGTCTCTTGTCTATACCTACTCTTCTTGCTTGTCGATACGCTTGATATTTGATCACACACCTTGAGTTCTGGGAACAATGTCTTACTCTGCGCTTGCAGTCCGTTTATTAAACATGTCCAAGCCGCCAGGCGATCCGATTTTGCCGTCGAAGCTTCGACAGGCGACTGAAGCTGATCTGTCGAAGTCCAATGGCACAGCTTCCACGGGTGCAGACCACCAAAATCAGCCTGATGCGGCAGGAACTCAAAGCTCGACTCCCAAGAAAGGCATCACTTTTGCCAACCAGGATTCGCTTCCCAAGCTCCCCATCCCCGATCTCGAGTCCACTTGCCGAAAATACCTCGATGCTCTGTATCCCTTGCAGACTCCGAGAGAACACGAGGAGACAAAGGCGGCGGTGCAGGAATTCCTGAAGACAGATGGCCCCGAACTCCAGGAAAAATTGAAGAAATATGCCTCATCCAAGACGAGCTACATCGAGCAATTCTGTAGGTGGCCACACCCGTTTCATCCACGCAATTGAGCATTACGGCTAATGTTCCTCGAAAGGGTACGACTCCTACCTGAATTTCGACAACTGTAAGTCCTTTCTTTATTGCTGTTTTGCCGGGCAGAGATCCTGACGAGAGGCTAGCTGTCGTCTTGAACCTCAATCCATTCTTCCTGCTGGAGGATGACCCAACCCCTGCGCGAAACAATCAAGTGACTCGGGCCGCATCGCTCGTGATTTCAGCGCTGTGCTTTGTTCGAGCTGTGAGGCGAGAAGAACTGCCGCCTGATACTGTCCGGGGCACACCGCTTTGCATGTTTCAGTACTCCCGACTGTTTGGTACGGCCCGGATTCCCACGGAGAATGGTTGCATCATCGGTCAAAACCCGAATTCAAAACACATCGTGGTCTTATGTCGGGGACAGTTCTATTGGTTTGACGTGCTGGATGACAACAACGACCTGATCATGACCGAGAAGGATGTGGCGGTAAACCTTCAGGGCATTATTGACGACGCCCAGCAGACGCCGCTCCAGGAAGCCGCAAAAGGGGCTCTGGGTATTCTGAGTACGGAAAATCGAAAAGTGTGGTCGAACTTGAGAGATCTTCTCACCAAGGAGGAGGGATCAAATAACGCCGAGTGCCTTCAAATTGTCGATGGCGCCATTTTTGTGTTGTGTCTGGACCACATGGAACCGTCCAGCACGGCAGATCTCTGTGCCAACATGTTGTGCGGCACGAGCGAGATTGTGCGAGGCGTGCAGATTGGAACGTGTATCAACCGGTGGTATGATAAGCTTCAGATCATCGTCTGCCAGAATGGCAGTGCCGGTATCAACTTCGAGCATACCGGCGTGGACGGTCATACGGTGCTGCGCTTTGCCAGCGACGTCTACACGGATACGATCCTTCGGTACGCCAGATCCATCAATGGCCAGGCACCGACCCTGTGGGCGTCTCAGAGCCCGGACCCGGCCAAACGGGACCCTCGAAGCTTTGGCAACGTCAGCACGACCCCCCGCAAACTGCAGTGGGATATGACCCCGGAGCTTAGTATCGCGCTTCGGTTTGCCGAATCCCACCTCGCCGACCTTCTCCAGCAACATGAATTCCAGGTTCTCGACTTCAACGGGTACGGGAAGCACTTCATCACTTCCATGGGATTCTCGCCGGATGCCTTTGTGCAAATGGCATTCCAAGCCGCATATTATGGGCTGTATGGCCGTGTCGAAAACACCTATGAGCCGGCCATGACGAAGATGTACCTTCACGGTCGGACCGAGGCCATCCGGACGGTCACCCCGGAGGCGGTGGAATTCGTGAAGACGTTCTGGGGCGACAACCCCCCTGAGCAGAAGGTGGCGGCGCTGCGGAAGGCCACGGAACGGCACGTTGCCATCACAAAGGAGTGTTCGAAGGGTCTGGGTCAGGATCGACATCTGTATGCCTTGTATTGTGTCTGGCAGCGGTCCTTTGATGAAGAGCCCTCGGTCAACGGCAGCGCCGAAACCAGTTCCAACGGCTATTCCAGTCCGGCGGAGAATCTTTCGAATGCCGAGTCCCCCAAGCGCTCGGCCACTCCGTCGGAAGATGGGCTGTCTTCCAGCAGCTACGGCAACGCCCGTCTGCGACCGATGCCGGCCACACCGGCCATCTTCAGTGATCCAGGTTGGGACAAGCTCAACACGACGATCCTGTCTACGTCAAACTGCGGAAATCCCTCTCTGCGGCACTTTGGATTCGGCCCGACGTCCGGCGACGGCTTTGGAATTGGCTACATCATCAAAGAAGACTCCATTTCCATTTGCGCATCGTCCAAGCACCGCCAGACGGCCCGATTGATGGATACGCTGGAGTCCTACTTGTTGGAGATCCGGAAGCTCTTGCGGGCCACGAGCCGCAAGACCATGAGCCCACGGACCAGTCGAGCGAGGGAAATGGAGCTCATTTCTGAGAGAGGAGAGCATCGCCGGGGCCGTCTCATCCGTCAGGACACCAATCACGTTCGGGGGACGGAAACGCCGACGACGGACAGTGGCGAGGTGGAGGATGATGGAATGGGAGGATGTAAGTTGACAAACGCACTGTGTGTTATTTATGGTGACCGCTGACCCTCCACAGATGGATTCTTCGATGCGGGGATGCTGCTCCACGCGCTCAAGGGTCTTCAGGCGGACCGGGAGCGCGGGTCAGACAAGCCAGCCCGGCGACGTCCAGTCGGAAAGAAGCTTCAACTTGCCGAATACTAGCCACGCCGACAGAGGCACTGATTCTATGAGTTGGTTGTATTGATAACAGGTCTTAACCGGTCTTCACCCGTGGATTGTATATACTTGATGCGTGATGCCTATATGAAAGTTCCTTTTTACAGATTGACATGGATTGGATTGATGCCGTTACCGTTCGATGCCAGAGGATACCAGCAATGCAGCGTGTTTGGGCCAAAGTTTGTATCTATTGTTTACCATGCTATCAGCGAAGAGCGTATCGACAATGGAGTGTTGTCATCATTCTTAACTTGCTCTCTTTTCAGGACCAGCTTGTAAAGGAAGAAAGATATTATCTGGGAAATCAAGAAATTTAGAACTGCGCATAGATACCTGGTGATCGACCGTTGTGGGGCACAGCCGACCGAGAGGCGTGCTGTCGAGCTGCAAGCAATAATCACTAACAATAACTAACCATAACCATTTGCTGGTGGCTGGTGCAGCGGGGATGTCGTTATCTTATCTTGACTCTGTCTCTCCAGTCTCAATCCACCGCTTGTCAACAGCAGTAATTACACAGTCCTTACTAGATCCAAGTGTGCTGTCCTTGCTGCCTCGATGAAATGTCATGCAGCAAGCATCTCACTAACGACAGGGATTACTTACTATTCAGAGCCTGCGTCATCATCCCTGTTCTTGATCTACGTTACGTTTATGTATATACTCCGTACGGAACGGAACGCTGATCACCGATTTAATTTACCCGGTTGTTTTAGCCGGAAAGGCCGAACATTCGAATCCTGACTGACAAAACATGTAGTCTACTGTAGAACTGTAGATAGTATGCATACCGTAGGCTAATAATATTATAATACTGTTATTCCCTCTGTTGACTGTAATATTAATCCATTATTTCCATCTTCATCCTTTTCTCTCATTTTTTTTCCTTTCGTGCCAGCTCGACATGGTCGATCACACCACACTGCTGCAAAGCAGAATGCAACTAAGACGCTGGTGGGCGACTGCTATTGGCCAGTTATTGATATTAGTGTGGATGGAATGAATGGATGTCATGCCTGAGAAAATTGGGCAGAACCGAACTGAATGTGCCGCCGGCCCGGCGCTGGCCGCTCTGACGTGACTCGACTTAGAGCCTGGACCAACCGGGAGGCTGGACTCTGGAGCATCTGTTGGCCTCTGGCTGGTGGTGAGGTGAGGTCAGTAGTGGACTACTATTTGATTGACTGACTCCTGTAGGTGGTTGGGTTGGGCGGAGGCCCATCCATCATCGATCGAGCTCGTGGGTCCGGACTAATACTATACCACTATACCACTATCTTGCGTGGGTTGATGCAACATCCTCCATTCACGGTTTGTCTGTCGATTTGGTTAGTTCACTTCGTATGCATAAGCTTCGATTTAGTATACGGTTTCTTTCAATTTTTGGAACGTTGGATGGAAATTGCTGCGCTAGTAGATGGACTTTATCTGGGATTGTCGTGGCATGTCTCCAAGGCACAGGAACTACAGTTACTGCCCCTGTACTCTGATCTAACAGTAACAATGTAATCCACAATAGGAATTGTCTTCTTATTGAGTCGTAGGGAAGCTTGCCAGAGTTATCGCCCAATCATCGCCGTGCTGCTGGTCATCACGTGACACTGGCCCCGTGCCTCACCTAATTCGCTCTCCGTGACGCCTTCGCCCGTCGTTCTCCGTCGACGACCTCTCCTGCCTCTGGTCCTCGAGGTTGGCGCATCAACGACGCTCTCGTGCTGCCTGCAGCGGTCTCGATTAATTCCATCCAGTGAGTGTCTCTGCATCTCCTCTCTCCCCGTCATCGATCTCACTGCGTTCGCCGCGATCTCGTGCGGTGCTGGCCCCCTTTCCCCGACATCGGATGCCGCTGCCTGCGATCGCTGCTGGCCTGATCGGGTTTAGCGTGCTGGAAGCCGTGCTTCCGGCCTGGCCTGTCCAGCTGTGGCCGCCCTCAGGCTCCCAGGCTGCCAATCTTGCCTTGGCCAGTGTGCTCACTGCCTGCCTGCTCCCCCCAAGCCTCTCCAGTCTCAGCACGCTGCAGACCGCCCCAGTCTCCAGTGCTGCGTGCGACAAACGGCCCTCTCGAGCGCTGCTGGTCCCTCTAGCAGTTCTTGCTGGTCCACTCCGGGCCTGCGGACTGCACTGGCCTTCTCCTATCGCCTCCAACTAGCGTGCCACCCGCCGCCTGCAGCGCTTGCTTGCTTGCTGCAAATCTGCTCCAATCTACCCTACTCCCGCTGCTAACCTGCTGGCCACCCCTCTCGCCGCATCGCTCTCCATCTCCTTCGAGAGAGGGGCTATCCTCGCGGGCGATACTGTCCTTTTCCCCCTTTGGTCCTGTCACTAAAGCCATCCATTGATCCAGGTCGCCATCGAAATCTAGCCATCCTCATCTCCCCGTTGCTTCAGCCCGAGTCGCCAAGCCACCTCCCTTCCGTTCCCCGACCGCTGGGAATCTCCTCAACCGCCGTCGATCAGCGGTCGCAAAAAAGTCCGACGGCAGCCATCGTCTTCGACACGGAGCAGCATTCAGCTCCATCCTCAGTCATCTCCACCATGGCGACTGCGCTCGAGCAGCCGGCCTTCGATGCGCTTCCCGCAAGCGGCCCTCGCGAGACCGATGCCACCACCTCCATGACTCCTCCCAACAGCGCCAACGGCAAGAAGGATGCTTCTCTCGAAGGCGTTCCCTCCGAGCTGTCCGACCTCGAGTTGGACTCCAACAACGCCGCCGCGACTACCGGTGCGACCGCTGCGCCCGCCGCGGACGACGACGAGATCGTGCCGGACCATTACTACGGCGGTGGGAAGATCCCCGTTTTCAAGCCGGTGAGTGATGGCCACGCAGCACCCTCGCTGCGATAAGGCAAGAATCCACGGCTGACACGGGACGAACCATGATCTCTAGACTATGGACCAGTTCCGCGACTTCCAGTCCTTTATCCACAAGATTGACCACTACGGAATGAAGTCGGGCATCGTCAAGGTCATTCCGCCCAAGGAATGGTGAGCATCCCTTGACTACTGCTTTCTACTCTGTCGTGAGCCATCAAAGGGGGTTATCGCTCCGTCGAATCGGGAGACGTGCGACGGGTTGGGACTGTTGCTAATGGACAGTTTGTAGGGTTGACGCCCTCCCCCCGCTGGATGAAGCCGTCAAAACGATTAAAGTCAAGAACCCGATCATGCAGGAATTCCACGGCTCGCACGGGACCTACACTCAGGCGAACATCGAGAAGCAACGAACGTACAATCTTCCTCAATGGAAGGCGCTGTGTGAGGAGAGCAGTCACCAGCCCCCGGCTCGGAGAGGAGAGAGACGGCGAAACCAAGAGAAGGCGGCTCGCACGGCTTCTGCCCCGAAATCTCAGCCGACCCGATCGGATTCCCAGAAACGCGGCCCCGGAAGGCCCCCGAAACGATCGAATCAGATCAAGATCAAGGAGGAACCGGTGGATGACCCCGAGAAGTCCAAGCCGGAGGGACCTCCAACACCCGTGTCACCGGAATCGAACCCCGTCGAGACCAAGACGGAGGAGCTGAGTGATGGAGAGTCCCTCCCGGCCGCCAAGCCAAAGGGCAGACAGCCAAAGTCGGTGTCCTCGAGGAGAAAGCATAACAAGGGTGAGTCGCTCGATCAGATTGACGAGGAAGCGTTCAAAGACTTTGATTATCGCATGAACGACGGCGAGGAGTATACCACCGAGCGGTGCGAAGAATTGGAAACCGCCTACTGGAAGTCGTTGATGTTCAACAACCCCATGTATGGCGCGGACATGCCTGGATCGCTTTTCGACGATAGGACGACGTCGTGGAATGTCGCCAAGCTTCCCAATTTGCTGGACGTGTTGGGCCAGAAAGTGCCCGGAGTCAACACCGCCTACCTGTACCTGGGCATGTGGAAGGCCACGTTTGCCTGGCATCTGGAAGATGTCGATCTGTACAGTATCAACTATATCCACTTTGGTGCCCCGAAGCAGTGGTACAGCATTTCCCAGGAGGATGCACCTCGGTTCGAGGCTGCTATGCGGAGTATGTCAATATGAAAAAAAAAAGACTTGCCTCAAGTCGTTCGGCTGGGCTGACTATTGATAGGTATCTGGCCAAACGACGCGAAGAATTGCGACCAATTCCTCCGTCACAAGACGTACCTGATCTCCCCGAGCGTCCTGAAATCGCAGTTTGGCATCACCGTCAACAAATTGGTGCACTACGAAAAGGAATTTGTGATTACTTACCCTTATGGGTATCATTCCGGGTACAATCTGGGCTATAACTGTGCCGAGTCGGTCAACTTTGCAACTGAAAAGTGGCTGGACTATGGTCGAGTCGCGAAGAAATGTAACTGTGAAGCAGACAGCGTCTGGATCGACGTTGGAGAGATTGAACGGAAGTTGCGAGGAGAAGCCACTCCGGAATATGAGGATTACGGGCTCGAGAGTGACCTCGATGAGGTCGAAGGCGCCTCCGACCTCCTTACTCCCCCCCGCAGCGTGCCGGAGAAGACTGCCACCCGTGTTAGGAAACGCAAGCGTGAGGGCGACGAGCCCCGATCGAAGCGGCCCCGGGTGAGCAGTGAGGCCGACCGGAAGATCCCGTGCGTACTGTGTCCCAACAATCTAGACTACGAGGACTTGCTCCCCACCGAGGACGGCAAGTCTTATGCCCACCGGCGCTGTGCCATGTACATTGAGGAAACCTCGATCCTTCGTGATGAGTCTGGCAGAGAGGTCGTGTGCGACATTGACAAGATCCCCAAGGCCCGCCTCGGTCTCAAGTGCCTATACTGTCGCGAAGTGCGGGGTGCATGCTTCCAGTGTAACTTTGGCAAGTGTACCAGGGCATACCACCCAACCTGCGCCCTCCTGGCTGGGGTGCAGGTCGAATACGGATCCATCTTGGTCACGGCCGACGACGGCGGCCAGTATTCTGTTCCCAGCGTCGACTTGAAGTGTAAATTTCATCGGCAGAGGCGGCCGACGTGGGTTCCGGAGAAGCAGCGGAGGACGACCAACAGCTGCTCGAGGCTGCCGAACGACTGGCCGTGGGCGACCTGGTGCAGTTCCAGGCGGACAGGGAGATCCACGGAGCCATCGTGCTCGAGAACCGGCCTGCGGAGCGGACGTTGCTGCTCAAGGTCCTCCCCCGCGGCGATGTCATCGAGCTGCCGTACCGGTGGATGCTCATCGTCCGCAAGACCAGCTTCCCGCCGCTGCCCCCAGGCACGAAGCCCCTGCCTGCCCACCTGACGCGCAAGGCCGAGACGCAGCAGGACGCGTCGTCGACGGTGCCGGTGCCGGGAACCCCCTTCTGCGACCCCAACGCGCCGTTCCAGTGGGCGGAGTTCGAGAGCGTCGAGCTGCCGACGGCGGCGCCCCAGGCGCGCGTCGACCTGACCAAGCCGGAGCAGATCTGGTACTACCTGGGCGAGTCGTCGACGGAGTGTAGGGCACAGTATACGCACAACCCTAGCGTTGCGGTCCACAATCCGCGGGCGAATTTCCTGGACAGCGTCAAGGCGCTTAGCGCCCTCGCCGCGGGCCGCTTCCCCTCCTCGGCCGGAACCCCCCACCACCTCGCTGCCCCTCCAACCTCAAGGCTCCCTCGCCCTCCTCTCCCATTGCAGCGCCGCCTCCCAGACACTGCAATGACTCCTGCCTACCGACCGCTGCCGAATGCAAATGCCAACGCCAATTCCAGTGCTCATGCTGCTGCGCGACCCTCCGCTTACGCTCCCTACCCCAAGCCCCAGCCGGACCTCCCCACCAACACCTTCGCCGGCGTCCGTGAGCTGATCGCCCGCCGCCGCCTGGCCCAGATCACCGACCATGCCAACGTCTTCGCCGGCTACACCATCGTCAGCCCCGAGCTGGTCGTCGAAACCCTCCTGGGCCCAATGGGCTCCGTGCCCCCTCCCAACGGCATGGAGAAGCTGGAACTCGCCATGGCCCAGCAGCGCGTCCAGCCCAAGGCCGCCGATGGCACCCTGCTGCCGCTGCAGCCGCTCAACATGCGCTCCGAGGAGGTCACCCGCCTCCTGCAGATGCTGCGCTTCTCCCTCATCAGCCATCGGGACCGGCTCGACGTCATCCCCAAGCGAGAGCCCGACTACCTCAAGCAGGAGCCGTTCGATCGCAGCAATTATTCGGGCGGCCGGTTGGCAGGCAAGTATGCGTACCTCGAGCAGCAGAAGGCGCAGGCCCCGACCGTCTATCGATCCCCGTACGAGTCCCCGTTTGGGCTTGCGGAATGGGTCAAGAAAGAGTACAACCTGCCTCAGGATGATCCTCCCCGGAAGAAAGAATCCCTCGCCAATGACTATTTCCTCTCGTTGTCGCCCGAGGATCAGGAGAAGGTGATGAAGGCCTGCGGCAGCTTTGTGCAGAAGCGGATCGCGGAGCGGGCCGCGAGCCACAGCCGGCACAGTTCCACGTCCAACTTCCGGCTCGCGTCCGCTCTGGCCCAGCAGACAGAGAACCCGACCATCGACATCACCACGGTCGAGGACATGCCCATAACGATGTCCGGGCTGGACCTGCCGCTGCATGCCGACTCGCCGGCCTCCAGCTTTAGCCGGGCACATCTTGGCTACCCATCGCCGAACGACTTTAACAGCCATGGGGATCACGATTCCTCCATCGTTCCCCGGCATCTCCATGACCACCATGACCTTTTCGGCGATCAGCAGGCCAACACGCGCTTCTGGCAGCATGGTCCATGGGTCGCAGGGGATGGGACGACGCCGAACGAGGAGAGCCGACCGTTTTTTGGCCCCCACGAGCGACTCAAGCATGACTACGCCGCGTCAGAACTGTCCCTTGGCCGGGGGCCAGGGTCGTTGCACTCGGTGGACATGGCCGGGTTCGGCATGGACACGACAGATGACATTGGTGCCGAACTGAGTCCTTGACCTGTCGACCTCGTCCGACGAAACTGCTCTTTCTCTGTCTTGCACATATTCCGTGTTTCCTGTGACCTGTATCCGAATTGATGACTGCATGAACTGGGCGTTCTGTTCTTTGCACATGGGGAGATGATGTTTGTTTTTATTATACCTTCGCCTATGTGATTCATGACGCGAGTTGACGACACCTGACTTGATGATTCGTCTGATTCGTCATTTTTGTTGTTATTTTTTTATTGTCTTTTTTGGATGAGTTTTTTTTTTATGTCACGCGGATCCGTTGAACGGGTTGGCATTTGTTTGATTTGATAGAGGATATACCGTGTACGGCGTGGATGGTTGGCTGGGGTTATGGGAGGGGTTCTCGTCTTGTTCGCCTTTCGAAAACACTACGACACAGAAAAACAAAAACAATAGAGTGAAAGAGCGATTGGATTCCCACCGGTGCCATTGTCGATGTACAACAACACATTCTTACAACACACACTCGTCACCCACTCTCCTGCTCTTTCACCTTGCTACCTCTCCTATATTCCGTCTCCCATTCCACACACACATGCGGTCGGCAGGGCCTACTTTCGCCCGCCTGTTTGTTACCCCAAGCGTGTTATTTTACAATGACGTTACACTAGAACAAGCAGAAACAAAAACAGAAAAATCCCAGAAATCAGCTTCAAGCAAAATCTTCTTTTTCTTCTTTTCTTTTCTTTTCTTTCGATGTTGTTTTCTTGCTGATACCCCTATTTTCTCACCACCCCCTCTGTCTCTGTTTTCTATGACTGACTGACTGACTGACTGACTTGTCCCGATAAGCTCAAGTCCTGTTTCTGTGATCATTCTTTCTAACTGAGGTACTGACAGTGGCTCAACGCCTTGAAAAATGAAAAGGAGGTCCGAAACGACCTGCCCATGGAAATGGAAGGAAGGAAGGAAGGAAGGAAGGGAAATGAAGGTGATGTACTAAATAAAACAAAAAAAATAAAAATAAAAATAAAAAGAAGCCGGAATGACAGTGTGAGGATCGACTCGATCGATCGAGCGTGTGTGTGGCTCGTGTATGTTCGTGTATGTATCTTGAGGATTAGTTAAAAAAATAAATAAAAATAAAATAAAAAAATAAAATATGAAAATAAAAAATAAATTATAACGAATAAAATAAATAAAATGGAGTTGAAGAATAAATGGTTTGTTTTGATATAGTCAGTAGCTGTTGATTTGAGTATTTAATATTTGTTTGTCTGTTTGTTTGTTTATAATCTGAACCAAGGTTTCAATTTAATTTTAATTTAAGAAGGTTCCAACCTTCAGTTTTGGTCCCTTTTTTTTTTGGTTCGGTTCGGTTCTTGTCTTCGTTATACTCGCCCCGCCCCGATCACGGCCAGGGCCAGGATCTTTGGTACCGGTACCGGGACCGGGACGCTGCACACCTCAAAAGTTTTCCATGGTCCGTGGTCTATGGTCCGTGGTCCAGGGACTGGACGGTACCAAAGACACGGACGGCTCTGTTTTTAACAGATTTTGAGTTGAGTTTCTTTTCTTTTTTTTTTCTTAGTTCCCCTTTTCTTATCGAACAAGTGTGTACTGTATGTGTACTATTACGGAGTATATCTACCTAGGTAGGTTGGTAGGTAGGTTATGTATGCACAGTAGAATATGGACATGTCCCACATGGGGTAAATCGTCCACATGGACGGAGGAATTACTATAGTACTGTACACCATCACTGCCGTTGGAGAAATAATGGAGAAATAATTCAAAAAAAAAATAGTATGGTGGAGGTGAAAATGAAAAAAAAAATAAGACAGCTAATAGTCAAATAACCATGCAGGCGGAAGAAAAGAAATAAAAAGAGAATTGTGTATGTATACTGTATGTAGATGGCATTTTTTTTTATCTGTTCCTCCACGACAACTGTCTGGCTGGTTTGAAGAGAGAAGAGTGCCTCTATATTGTAATGCCTAGTATGTATATAATTTTAATAAAATCTCCTTCCCAGGTGGAGCTTCTAACCATATATTATACTTGTCACATGCAGATGGCACAAGTATGTGTTTACTTACAGAGTACTTTACTCCTTCCACGTTTGTCATTATGCATCCTACCTATGTACATACATCGAACCAAGCATCATCTAGCCTTTTTTTTGTAATAGGTATTCTTTTCATCGATTAGCGTCCTGCTTCATGTTCAATAAATGCACAGAATGAGGCTCAGGCAGTGTTTCTTCCCGCAATAATGCATGCAGGGTGCTGACATATGTACATAGTTGTCTATGGTGCCCATGAAAGAAAGATCGCTCTGGAAGGAAGACACTGCTCCAGCACGAAAAGAAACTAACTGTGCGACCACCCACGCGTAGTACTTGAGTAGTATTTATCATCGGATTCAACTTACGCGTAGACTAGGCCATATCTCCAAGTGATTGATTGGCGGCTGCAGTGCAGGACCTCGGCTTTGGGAGACTCGTCGAGTTTCGAGAGTTTTGGCAGATGGTTGAAGAGGAGACCCTATAAATCTAGCCGTGAAGGTGACAACTATATACCTGGGACATGTCCATACGCTTTTTTAAAGTAAGGCCTATGTATTCTTGATTTTTTTTTTCATGTTATATAGTCCTATCTATCTATACTAATTAATTAGCTCATTAGGCAATAGTCCAGAAAGGGAAGAAAAGGGCAATGAGCGTCTTCAAACGCTCACAGAACAGATAACAGTGGTCCTCCTTCGATACTATACTGTTGAGTGCGAAAATGTCATTCTTCTTTTCTCTCTTTCTTTCTATTTCCACACCCCTTCTAGTTAAGATCTCCACGCAATGAATATCTTTTGACTGGCGTCGTTTTGAATTGAATGCTGTGGTCATTCTGTGTTATCTATTCAGGCAGTGCCTAGCAGTATGTGCTATAGGAGTATTTTATTGTCAACTATTGTCATGCTACAGCAATTTTTTTTTAACCCTCTGCTAACTACCCTCTTTCTCCCGCCGCTCAGCTTCGAAAATGTCCACCTCCGTCTCCTTGAATTTCCTCGCGCTGATTCTCCGCTCGAAAAGAATGTCCAGCTCTTCAAAGGTCCTACCCTTCGGCTCCGGGAGGCGGAAGTAGGTCCATACCAGGCACAAGAAGCACATCCCCGCCCAGAAGAAACCGGCTTTCCCTTTCCAGTTCCATGCGGACGGATTGAGCATGTACGGGGTGATGACGCCGTTGATGATCCCGATCACGTTGTACAGATTGCGACCCAGGACGATGGTTTTCGTCCGCAATCGACTAGATGGTATCTCGGCGACGATGGAGAAGGCCACCGTTCCGACGGTGAAGTCGTAGAATAACGTGTAGACGAGCAATAGCGATCCAATGGCCCAACCGGCGTTTTTTGACGAGGAGAGAGCAACGAAGCCGATGATCAGCAGCAAGAGGAACATCATCACCAGACCGGCGAGGTACAGCGTCCGACGTCCGAATCGGGCCATCAGGAACCACGAGACGAAAACGCCGATCATGGCCACTGCGTACAGAGACATGGACATGTCAAACGCATACTGGGCCGCCAGACCGGCCTGTTCGTAGAAGTAGGTCGAATAGCCCATGAAGGCCGCTCCGCATAGGTTCTGGATCGCCCAGGTCACGCAGGTGATCTCTGTGCGACGGAGATCGAGACCCTTGAAGCAGTCCCAGTAGGTTGTCCCGCTCGTCAACTCCTTTTCCAACTCGTCGGTATGGACCATCATGGCGATCGTCTGGTCGACGTCGAAATCAGCGTCTGCCGTGGAGCTCGTGAGTCGCAGCAGCGCTTTCTTCGCATCCTCGCGTCGACCTTTCCTCACCAACCACCAGGGAGACTCTGGGGCGAAAAAGATGCCAACAATCAGTGGCACCGGCCATATCCACTGGATGGCAAAGGGGATCCGGTATGCCCACTCGTCCGTCCGCTGCAGCATACTCCGCAAGACTCCGGCAGCGATCAATTGGCCGATCCCCCAACACAGATTCACGTAGGTCGTGAGATAGCCTCGCAGCGCGACGGGGCAGACTTCCGACGCATAGGCGGTGGTGAGGGTTTGGAACACGCCCCAGGGGATCCCCATGAGGACTTCACCGACCTGCAGCGTCTGGATATTCTGCGCGAAGAAGGGGATGAAGATAAACCCCGTGAGGGCTGTCAGAGCCCCGATCATCGTCTTCCTATACCCATAGCGCTCCGAGACGATGCCATTCAGGAAAAGCCCGATGATTTCGCCCACATTGGCGCCGTTGGACAGGCCCGACTGCCACTGCGCAGGGATCTGGTAGGTCCCGTCGGGCTGGCGCTGGCCGTAACGCTGCGTGAACGTCGGGAAAGCATAGAAGCTCTGCATCAGCACGACGTCGTAGCCTTCCATGACGATGGCGGTCGACAGGAGGATCGACCAGCCGATGGCTTTGGGGTAGAGTCTGATGGCCTGCCATAGGGTCATGCGGTGCTCCTTGTCGGTTGCGTCCTTGGCGTCGCTGGTCAGGGCGACCTTCGTCGGCAATCTCTCTTGCCGGCCGTCCTCGATGTGGGAGGACACGTTGGCCGCCCCCTTGGCTTCACTGTCAGTTATCTGTTGTGAAGCCATGTCGATGACGAGGATGGATCACCATAGATGCACAATCACGCGCAGTCCAGTCCAGTCCATAGCAGTCGAGACGGCTGGAAGTGCGTCGGGGAAAGCGCCGTTATATACGCCTAGCAAGGACGCCAAAGCGCCGCTGTTGCAGTAGCATGAGCGGGACACGTGCTTCTACCCCGGCCATGTTGCTTGACGGGGTCTAGATCTTCCAGACGGTTCTGTCGCTAGCTAAGCTAAATGGCAGTCAGAGAAAGCAGCTAGCACGGACACGAGGGAAAGAGAGATGGCGCATGCTTGGTTCCTTTGTGTTGGACGGCCATTCGTCCCCGCTCCTTCCATCCTCCCCACGCTACTGCCACCCCGCGTACCTGCCTATCAAGGTAGGTGACTTGACTAGAATAA